GCTATAAGAGTTCCCAGAAGATGAAAACAGCCTCCTTACAATGTTACTTTTATATTTAAGCAATAAAGTTCCTTTGGGATGGGGCCCAGACTCAGCCATATCTACTGAATTTAGCTTTATAGTAGTACGACAACAGAAAATTTTTCAAAAAAGTTGAACACAGTAATAATATTAGGTGACATTTATTAAACACTTGCTATATCCAAGGCTCTATTATTATCTTCCCCATTTTACACATGAGGAAAATGGAGTCTGGATAGGTTAGCTAACTTTTCCAAGACCACCCTGACAGTGGCAGTGCCTGAGCATTCATTCACTAATGCACTGCCTCTTAGGGACTTGGCATGGGCCCTCTTTCAACACTCTGGTCCATCTGCAAATGTCACATGTCATCTCCCACCTACCCTCCTCCCACCCTCCCCCACTCCATCCTCCACCCATGACCTTCTAGCCAACTAGGAGTAATCACGAACATCTCATGTTTCTCCTAATTTTGGTTTCCCAGCCTATCAACAAATTACTTTGAAGTTATGTATCAATCACATTTATGTCCAATACCTTTCTGCAAATTATCATGTCCTTGAAACTCACCAAAAATCATAAATATTCTGACAAACTGTCTAAATACATCAATGTCCTTTGCTGAAAAACATAGGGGAGTTTGGTTTCTATCTAGGTGAGAGCCCAGTCCCTTGACAATGATTTGTGAGACACAAGATTTGAGTATTTGAGAATCTCTGGTCTATATCAAAGAGTGACAGCCTGGTGAACTTCAAGACTCTAGACAGCATCAAGGCTGAAGTGCAGCAGTACTCAGTCTTTGTAAACAGCAAGAATCTTGCAGTGCATTCCATCGACTCCTTCCTCCCTCGGCTCCCTCCAGTGGTTGGAGATGATGGGTTCCAAGCCTCTGCTACACTTCTTTCCCACTCAAGAGTTCTCCCAAAGCCCCCCTGCATGTTTTTTTTGCTGTCATTATCCAACTGGATGATGGCATCAAACCAAGGCTAATACTCTTAGATTCACTCAAGACCCAAGAACACATTGTTGAGAATTCTCCTAGTCAGCTATTTACACAGAAAAGTTTCCCTGTCTATCCTTCACACATCATAACTCTGTCCTATCTATGCCAACTACTCGTTGATACTGCAGAAAACTGAGCTAACAGAGCTGGCTGTGCACTGCCTCTCCTTCCAGGCTTAGTCAATGGACACATTCTTCCTCTACCCTGTTCTTTTTCTCTCCCCTTTTCCATCACTTAGCCCCTGTATTCCAATATTGGTTTACTTGTAAAAGAATCAACCCAAGAATTTACCAAAAATTAAGAATGAGAAACTCACGAAGCATAATTGATAGTTTATCTGTAAAGGAAGGAGTAAAAGAAAGGTGTTAATGGGGAAGGGCAACAGGAGAAACTCTTATATCCCGATATCCTGGTTCTCTTTCCCATATAACTTTTAGGAAAAGGTAGACACTCAATTGTGGAAGTAAAGGAATGCTTCCCCTCATCAGACAACACATCTTTCCTGAAGGGCTGTGTACAAGTTAAATCCCATTTATTCATTAGACATTTGTTAGAAATTTTCAAAGTGAGGACTCTATGGCAGACCCTGGGGGATAAAGAGATTAAGTTGATATGGACTGCTCTTTGAGGGATTGGACTTGTAAATAGATAACTAAGAATACAAGGTTGAAACTGCTGAAATTTAAATTCACATAAAGTGCTTTGGAAGCTGAGGAGAAGGAACAGAGATTAGGGGCACAGAGAGAACACAGGAACAGAGGCACAGAAGCTGGAATCTGATGTTATAGGTAGCAGGGAGCATCTAGGATAAAGTAATCATACTTTTTCATAAATGCAACCTCCTGAGCTGTGCCATAGTGAAGCTCACGGTTCCCTAGCTAGTGAAAGCTTGGGCAATCATTCTGAGAGCCACAGAGAAAGCAGACCTGAAACTCCTACAGAAGAAAAAACAAATCATTACCAAAAAAAACTATTTTGATCCATTATATTTCAAGAGAACTTCAATTTCATTCCATTGAGGAAAATCAATGTATAATCGTGTCTAACAATTAAAATAATGTAAAGCACTAAAGTATAGTCTCCAAGACTCTAGAAGATAAGCTCGTTCTTTCTTTCCTTCTTTTTTCTTTCTTTGTTTTTCTTTCTTTCTTCTTTTTTCTTCCTCCCTCCCTCCCTTCCTCACTCCCTACCTTAGGTCCTTCCCTTCCTTCCTCCCTTTTTTTTCTCTTTTCTTTACTTTCCTTTTCTTTCCTTTCCCTTCCCTTTCTCTTCCCTTCCCCTTCTCTTTCCCCTTCCTTCCCCTTCCCTTCCTTTCCTTTCTTCCTTCCTTCCTCCTTTCCGTTCTTTTTCTGTGAAAGGAACCACTAGTCCCAGAATAATGGCCACATATGTCTAGAGGTCCTAGATGCCTGAATTCTGGTGCAAGGAAGCAACTTTGCATGCTTCATGACTCAGCACCCAGGTTTGCTGGGATTGTATCTGGGTCCTGGGAATATAGGGATAGGCAGAGCCATAAGCAGGCACTTCTTGGAGACAGGTCAGGCTGCCAGGCCGCCAGGCTGCCACTCTTGCTCCTAAACTGGGCTGCTAAGAAGCTCCTTCTTGTCTGCACATCTCCTCTTGACCTCCCATCCTCATTTTTGCCCCAAAATTATTACTGAATGTGTAAATAAATAAATGAAGTAACCATGCTTTAATATTGGCTAAAACACTGGAATTTGCAAATTATTATGTAAAATTTTAGAATCAAATCAAGATTATCCCCATGCTACTCTCATGATTATTTCAGTATGCCTCCTTCCCAAAAACATCTGAGGTTTGTGGGGTTCCTACAGAGTTATTCCTTTGTTCCTTACAAAAGCTGAGTAATAACTTATCATTTGACTTGGATTCTATAGATCTGCATAATGCTTTACTCTTCATTATTAGTCATGTAGGGATAAAATTTCATTGCACATTATATTAGAACTTACAGAAACTAAAGGTTAATCTAGTCACTCCACTAATTCAAAAATGTTATTAAAATGACCAAGATACAACACACCTAAGTAAGAGGCTTATGTTGAACTTTCAAGTTTCTTTTTTTTTTTTTTTTGATAGAGAGACAAAGACAGAGAGAGAGAGAGAGAAAGTGTGTGTGTGCAGGCAGAGGAGCAGAGGGAGAGGGAAAGAAAGAATCCAGAGAATCCCAAGATGGGGCTCGATCTCAGTTCCATGAGATCACGACCTGAACTGAAATCAAGAGCTGGATGCCTGACTGAGCCACTCAGGCACCCCAAACTTTCAAGGTTTTTAATTATGAGCCTTTACTGGCTCATAAAATAAATATTTGCTATGAAACTATCCATGTTAGATCTACCTTATATGCTATAAAAACAGTGACCTTTTAAAATTATATATTAAAGGGGCGCCTGGGTGGCGCAGTCGGTTAAGCGTCCGACTTCAGCCAGGTCACGATCTCGCGGTCCGGGAGTTCGAGCCCCGCGTCAGGCTCTGGGCTGATGGCTCGGAGCCTGGAGCCTGTTTCTGATTCTGTGTCTCCCTCTCTCTCTGCCCCTCCCCCGTTCATGCTCTGTCTCTCTCTGTCCCAAAAATAAATAAAAACGTTGAAAAAAAATTAAAAAAAAATAAATAAAATTATATATTAAATAAAATTCCAATCATATTCATTGAAAAGAAAACTAACTGAAACCTGATACCAAGGATTTCAAAATTTTTGCAGAATGGGAAGATTACTTTTTACTGTTTCTTTAAAGAAAAGTGAATTTGTCAAACCACATGCAAACTCAATTTTCTACCATGGAAAAAGATGGGTTCTCAGAAACATGGAATTGGATTTAGTCTGTGACCCTAATGGCTCAATAGATGATTCTTCAAAAAGAAAAAAAAAATCAAATAATGTATTCTGAAACTCTTTTCTTTAACTCTTCTCTGAAGTAACATATCCTGCAAGCTTCCTTGGGAGGGAAATAAACTCTTTTTTGTCACAGGTGTGATGCTGTTCCCCACACTTCCTCTCCCAAGGACATGGACATGATTACCAAAGTCCACCCTCTTTAAGCCATGCAGTGCAGAGGAAGAGGAGGAGAAATCTCTGGCAACCGTCATCCCTGTGCAATGCCAACAAATGTCATTCTTTGTTTTAGGGGCTGGTCATATTTTTCTATCACCTCTGAAGCAGAGAAAGTGCTAAGCCTAGAAGCCCAGTTTCTGAACCTACTAGAGATACCACAGGAGTTTTTGTTACCTTCAAACCTGCTGGATCCTAAATCAATGCAAACATTCATGGCCAGTTGTCCTAGGAAGTTTGAAGTTGCAATTAATTGCTACTAATCTTCTTGCTCAGAGATGGCAAGTAAATCTTATTCTTGGGGAGTTCAAGAATACAAGGCTCAGATGCCATTGCTCACATCTGTTAAATGGCCTAATACGAGTAACCCAGACCTTCCTGAAGGTCATTGCTCCCACAGAACACAACACCAAAGGATGTTAATAAGTATGAAGCAAATACAAAAATGAAGTGTTACTTGGTTGTGTACATTTGGAAAATGCTGAGTTAAATATAGTGAAACTGATTTTTTTTACTACAAGACATCTCAGGGCTTTTCATAGGTTTTAGGAGCACTGGGAATCGCCAAGATGATTTCACTGAGTCTTTGGTTTGCTTTATTTTCCATCCTCAAGCACCTTCAATGACAAGATGCATTTTAGCTTACAAATGACAGAAAGGAAACTTTGAAAACTTAACAATAAATGTTGAATGATGTCTGGGATCCACCCCCCCCCCAAACTGTTATGAAGGGTCCATGGGAAAACAAATGTGGTTAACTACAGAGGTCATTTCTAGCTGGTTCATGGGTTTTAGTCTGAAATTCTCCCCCAAATATCCCCAACACAGCCTGCCCAAAAACCTGGGCACAACTCTAGGGATAAAGAGCTCACACCTAACCTTTCTCTTAAAGAAGAGTGGAAAGCAGTGCTCACTTTGGCAGCACACATAGTAAAATTGAAATGATACAGAGAAGATTGGCATGGCCCTTATGCAAGGATGACAGCCAACTTCACGAAGCACTCCATAATTTTTATAGGTCAAATATATTTCAATAAAGCTGAAATTTTAAAGAAGGAAAACAGAAAAGACGTTCTTCTAACAGGAAAAAACCAAGAATCACAATTATTATTCATTACAAATGTGTCACTCTCAGAATTACCTATGTAAGAAAATGTTCTCTTTCATGCAAACAGTATGAGCCACAAATTAATATGCCCTTAATCTCTAACATCTAAGTAATTTTGAAGCCAGAAACAAGGTAAAATCTGTTCACCAGGTGTACCACCACAGTGGAATTCCTATACTAAGGAAATATTTCCATTGTGGAATTTCAAGACTCCAAAGGACAATTTGTGTTTCTATTGGGATGTTTTTATAAAATGAACAATTTGGCATATGAGACATGTAAGTTCCATGCAATTTTTGAAAATATATTTGTGGAACTAACCATCTGCATGCCTGGGGAAATACCCCTTCTGAAATAAATGGGTGAGAATGAGTATAATGGTTACATTCTAAGATTTATAAACAGACTTTCTATATCTGTTCACTTTTTCATTCAGAAGTATCAAAGTTCCCAGAGAACCTAAACACCAAATTACATTCATTGCAATAAATATATATTACATTTTATTTTATATAATCACACAGCGCAAGGAAAATATGTAGGTTGAGTTTTCATTTATGAGAGAATATGATCATATACATACCTATATAAATATAAAATCAAATGCAAAAAAATTAACATTCAAGTTCAGTTCTGTTTGTATTTGTTCTCCAACTGACTTTGCATGTGCATATGTGTGAGCACACACACACACACACACACACACACCCCTAAATCTAAAACCTACAATTTATCAAAACCAAAAATATCTTTTCTTTCCTTCACTTCACTTTACAATTCTCTCAGGGAAATGGGTAGAGTGCTACATTTAGAGTGACCAAGTAGAATCTCTTAAGATAAAATATGAGTTGAGTTTAAATCTGTAGCTGGTGAAAATCAAGGACATCTATAAACAGATTTTTTTTTGTGCTATCCAATTTCACATGCATTCAATTCACTAGTGTTAAGAATTGGACTGTGGTGCTTACTTCAGCAACACATATGCTAAAACTGGAACAATTACAGAGATTAGCATGTCCCCTGTACAAGGGTGACATGAAAATTCGTGAAGCGTTCCATATGAAAACAAAAAAAGCATCCACTGTGATTACATGATGTTACATCTTGACCTGTGCTTTAATCCTGACTGAGCATGTCTTGATTGTATGAATTATTGATTAATTCAGGTGTTATTATTATTTAAAAATGCAACTCATTACTTAGATTTTTCCCAATCACTTATGACTTGCCGATCAGTTTCTTTCTTTTTTTTTTTAATTTTTTTTTCAATGTTTATTTATTTTTGGGACAGAGAGAGACACAGCATGAACGGGGGAGGGGCAGAGAGAGAGGGAGACACAGAATCGGAAACAAGCTCCAGGCCCTGAGCCATCAGCCCAGAGCCTGACGCGGGGCTCAAACTCCCGGACCGCGAGATCGTGACCTGGCTGAAGTCGGACGCTTAACCGACTGCGCCACCCAGGCGCCCCTTGCCGATCAGTTTCAAAGCACAGAGGACTCTTACTTCCACTGGATTACAAGTGCACTGTAAAATATAAAAAGTAAGTCTAAAAAGAAAAGTCTAAAAGATAAAAACTGTTTTCTTACCCAAGAACAAGAAGTGAAGAAACTGATGGATGTTGTTTATGGACAGTGGATGGTCTATCCAGATGACCTGCAAAGAAATGTTTCTAGATCAAAAATAGTCCTTCTAGCAACACAAGGGAAGTCAATTATTATGTAACTGCACATTTAAAATACAGAGAGCCTTTTTCAACTACCAAGACTTTCCAGGTTAGAACTGACTTTTCCATATAGTGTTATGATTCTCATAACAATGCTTTGGGGTGGAGAAAGTAGGATTGTTCCTCACTCAAGAAGGTTCTTAAACTGTTTCTAGCTTCCACATAAAGTCAAATTTCCTTCCTCCTAATTCCAGCCCTCTTCAATCACCATGGCAGCCTGCGTGACCAAAGGGACTGAGCTTTCTGATGCTATCTCGTCCAGTGACCCTGATATGACCTCTAGAGGTGATATTAAGATTTGTTTCTATGCAAACTCTCCTTCGTGTACAATTAAAAAAAAAATACATGTAATTCTTAACTTGGTTCATAGATAATGAAGTGTTGATGTTCAAGGATTTCTTCTAACTGGTGTTATGGACTTGCTTCATGTTAAGCAAGCAGTATTCCCACCTTCTCTGAGAGACACACAATCCTTGCACCATTTGGGCAGTACCAACGCTGCAGCCAAACAGTATGTTCCCAAAATAGAAATCTGTTTCTGATGTTTGGCAAACATACTCCACAGCCTTTATGAGACTTGAAGGCATCTGGATATCTGGATATATAAGTTTGGATCCAAAAAGATATCATTTTCCCAGAATCATGTACAATGCTCTCTTATGCATGTTCTTCTCAGATTCCTCCTCCATGAGCCCCAAGCTGTTCACTGTCCACTACTCTCTCAGGGCACTGGCCAATTTCTAGGGTGCCTAATTGCTATTTGAGCTCTTGTTGGTCCCCCCCAACACTGGAGTATGAGCACAAGGCTAGAATCTGGTCTCACTCCTCCCTGTACCCAGCATCTGGCACAGAGTAGAAGTGCTAAAAGCATGCACTGAAGGAACCATGAGCCACACCACTGTTTACATCTTCTGAGTGCCAGGAAGTACTTGCCACTACCCAGACACACGTTCTTCATTGCCTGACACCCACCCTTTGCTCAACGACAGTCTCCCTTCCTGGAATGCCCTTCCCTGTGTCTTCACTGATTGAAGCCGCATCTATCTTTCAAAGACACATTCCCCAAAGCACCTTCTCCAAGAGTGATTTTCTGATCCTCTCTCCAGTACCCCTGATGGCACCTGCCCTAGTTGGCACTGTATGAAAGTCATGTGTTGCCAGTTTCTCCCCTCCATGGGGGAACAGGATTAGTTCCTCTCAACAACTCATGGCTGTCTGAACCTAGCCTGTAAAACTGTGAATAATAAATCACATTCAGCTGGGTGAGGATTGTGGCAAGAGCTTGCTCTTTCTCCAGAGACCCTAGAGTTCAAGAAAAGAATGACTAAGGATATAGAAAAATATGTAGGAAAGAAAGTAGGAGAGATGACTTCATATGTGGAGCCCTCTTTACATAAAAGTATATTTTAAGTGAACCATTGAAAGAGGTCTTAGTGAATCCTTTAATTAAGAATCTGATAGGTGGGGCGCCTAGGTGGCTCAGTCAGTTGAGAGTCTAACTCTTGATTTCAACTCAGATCATGATCTCAGGGTCATGGGATAGAGCCCCATGTCAGGCTCCGCACTCATGGAACCTGCTTGGGATCTGCTTGGGATTCTCTCTCTCTCTCTCTCTCTCTCTCTCTCTCTCTCTCCCTAATAAAAATAAGATAAAACAGCCAACTGGTGAAAGAAAACAAAGAATATGATACTGGAACACTTCATAGCAGAACTTTCTAAACTGGAAGATTAACATACATAAAATTACAGAAATACCAAATTTGAGACAAGAACATGAAAGTATTACTTACAGATTATATTGAAATATTTTAGGCCATTCTTAGTCCATATTTGGTAAGGTCCATTCTACTTGACTACATAGGAAGCTACCAAGGGAGCAAGAATTGTGTTTTCAGGAATCTGAGTCCTACACTTCTAGTTTCTGGGAAAATCAGGGTGTCTACAGTGATTTCCAGTGCTTCCATTTATTTGCTCAGTTGTTCAGGTCCCAAATAGTTATCCACTATGGGCAAGGCACTGTGCCAGTTAGTGTCACTGCTACTGCTGCTGTTGCTGTTATCAGCCCTTAAAGCTAAAAGAACTACAGAAAATCACAATTATTACTATTTCAAAGAAGAGCTACATAACTGTCAAAAGAATTCTCTAAAAATTAAGTAGTTGGAATGTTGAAGAGTCTAAGAATCAATCGGGAAAATCAATGTGGTCAGACAGGCTGGGTTGTCTACCTGAAGACATTAACATTTTTATTTAATTTGTAAGATAGCTGGACACTACTGCAAATTTCTGAGAAAGTGACTACCAAGATCAAATCAACTCTTAAGTGAGATGATGCAGGGGACTCAAGCAGGCAGACTGAGGAAAGGCTGGAGTTTAGAAGGCAGTTGTGGAAGGAAGAGAAGAAAGTTGCAAAAGGGTGGATTTCAGACATACTTTAGCAGAGGCAGACTAATAAGAGAAGGGACAAAGGGTAAGCTAAGAGGAAGATGTGATACTATCTATCATAATGGGCCTGGGGGCAGTGCAGGTTGGAGTGGTTGAAGGTCACAAGGTCAGAGTTGTCTTTTACTAAAGGGAAACTGGGTTAGAGAAGAGTCTAGAGAGAAAATTCACCAGGTTCTCTTGCAGGTTTAGGCATCAATGAAACATGCAAGAAAACCCACCTCTTTTTGACAAGAATGATCAATTTGACCACACAGACATGAGAGATATTTGGACAGATGACTTAGAGATCTCTTCCAGCTTGGGAGAGTCCACAATTCTACAAGACATGTCCGGAGAGAGTATTTAAAATCTGACTAATCATTGGAGTGCCCTAAGGAAGTGATTTAAGGAGAAGATAAAATCTCAAAATATTCAACTAGAAAGATGGAGGGAGTAAGCAGTAGCTTCTTTACTCCAGACAAAAACAAGGAAGGCCAGGATCAGAAAAGGAATGAGGAGAACTAGAAACAAGCGATAAAGACATAATATATTTTGCATAACGTCAAAGAACAACAATTTCAGCACTGCCAAACTCTATGCCACTTGAGGCATAACTGCCAAACTCTGTTCCACTTGAGGAATAATTTGTTCTTTGTCAGTATCTTAATCATAAGAAGTTTTTGCCAGTGGTCAATGTATTAGCAATGGCATTTACAAAACCATTTCAATTAGCTTTTTTTCCTAGGAGCACCTAACCTGGGAGATCTCCCACCCAGCCCTGCACAAAGCCTATCTGCCCAGAAAGGCTTAGCTGGTCTCTGTCACGGAGGGCGGGGGTGCTTTGGACAAAGAAAATGGATTTGCATAAAGGTGGTTAGCTGAGCACAGGCCCTATGTGAGGCTATACAGTGTTGAAAAGGCCATTCTCCAACCTGGCAGTGTAATCCTAATGGAGAGCTTTTGTTCCAGAGGCTGTGGTAGGCTGCTTTATTCAGCTGACAATCCACAGTAAAAGAACGAATGAACCGCCTCCTTTTGGTAAAGCCAAGGTAGCTGGCAGCCCACAAGCCCCACAGCTTACTGAATAAGAGGCAGGACAATTGTTAGCCCCAGACCCAAAAGGTGCTCTGTAACGGAGTGCCCACTGCTAGTGTTCCTGGCTGCATGCTGGGTGTTCACCACTCAAGACAAACCTCCCCAGGCCACCTTCACATCAGAAAGGACCTATGGGATCCAGAAGCACCAGCAAAGTCCTTCCCTACAATCCTTCCAAAAGACATCCAAAACCTTTCGTCACATGTAGCCCCTTCGCTAGCTTTGTAGAACACTATAATCATTTCCCATTAGAATGCTGAGAAAGAGCCAGCCTTCTTGTTCCTTCTGAGATTTCCTTTTTAAAAAGAAATTCAGTTTATTTCTCTTATTTTTAAGAGTGTTAAATTTACAAAATGGAACAAACTATGCAAACACAATTCTACCACCCCAGGACAAATATTGCCATTTTGTATGATTTCTTCCCAATCTTTTTTATGTAACTGTGAGAACTCTGTAAATACAGTTTTTTCCCAAGGCAAGTCTAACTGATCCCTATTTTCCAACTAAGGAACAAGCCCTTTAGAAGTTAGATGGTTTCTCCTAACTTATTTTAACCCCCTTATCTTAAGGTATTTCCCAACCTAACCTCCAGTTCTCCTCAACCTTATTCCACTCTTCCATAGACCTTAGACTGCCTTATCAAAAAAAATAGGGAAGTTGTCTCCAACAATCTGTTGAATAATTTTTTAAGGCGGCCATTTCCATGAATGAAAACCCACATGCAACAAAAATAATTTAAGATCAATATATGAATTATGTGCCAATATCACATGAATGATCAAATATATATTTATATAAATATATAAACTATATATAATATACATATGTAAATATGTATATTATACACACACACACACACACACCATTTTGGTAAAAAGTTTCCCAATTTGTTAGCCACATGGTTCTCAAATTAGAAGAGGGGCCAAAGAAACCCTCCATTTCCCGAATGAAAGATTGCAGACCTACTCACTTAAATGATATCCCTAATTGTTGCTGACTCTTGGCTTCACCAATGCCAGAGGCCCCTCCTGCAAACCTCACTCCCAGCCCCCACTCCCGCCCAGTTCCTTTTCTTAATGCTGATGGTTAAGACACAGCCACATTAAAGTGAGGCTCTGCAAATGCCCTTACTGAAAACTACAAAAGCCTATCTGTTTGATATACTTCAAATGCTTTCTGTGATCACATATGTTGGAACTTCCTACCAAAGGTTCCAACTTGTTTGTTATGGAATATAGAGAAAGATGAAACAGCTTTCACTGAATTTCCAGATTTTTCACATTGATTGACTTTGTTTGTGAATTTCACCTCAAAGTGTAATCGTTTAGTGCAAACGTCTCAATTTCCCAAAGTCCTGCCTGTTACTTTAAAGCTTTCTCATTTCCTGAGAACAAACTGAGGGCTGGGGGGGGGG